TGTCCGGTTCACCGTTTATGAAAAAAGTTAATTATCCTGTTCACAAGAGTCTAGAACTGCACCCTAACAGACCCAAACACATCAGATATATATATATATATATCAGTGTTTCTGTACTGCTACATGCAACTTCCCCTGGTGAAATATACTGCACCAACATGAGTGTAAAATGTAGAGGTTTCATTCCCAAACATTCGCAATTCAAGAAGATGGCTGTCTTCTGAGTTGTTGCACAGTGTAGTCTGGTAGAAGGCCCTTGCTGCCTCCATCATTAGAGCTATAATTGAGGCAGCAATGACCTCTGAAACATCAGTAAACTTCTACCAGACTACACTGTGCAACAACTCAGAAGACAGCCATCTTCAGACTCACCACCATGAAAACCTCAAATCCTACACAATTCAAGAAATTCCCCAAACTTCTTAAACATGATATGATTTGATTTGTTACTGTCAGCTCCAAATATTTCAACTTTGCCACAATTTTGAAGGGTTTATTTTTCTATAATACAATTCTGCTTTCCATTCTGGTGGCAAGATATAAACACAAAACTGAACATGTTTCTAATTAACTCATTCCCTGGTAGCAGAACCCACAGGTACAACACTGACAATACCAAAGCCTGCCACGGGCCATAATCCTGAGCCATCTGCACCCATTTTCCAACCTCACAGCCTACCTCCATAAGATCTGTCTTGATGTTATCCTCCCATCTCCTTCTTGGTTTATCCTATGGTCATTTTCCATAAGTATTCCCTACCAAAATTCTGTATGCCCCCCCCCCACAATTCGTGCTACATGTCCAGCCCATTGCAGCTCCTTGTTATGCAGTATTCTAAATTCCCCACTTATTTCATCCCTCCTGGGTCTAAATATCCTCCTGAGCACCTTGTTTTCAAACACTTGTAATCTACGTTAATCCTTTAAAGTAAGAGGCCATGTTTCACAATCATAAAAGACAACAGACAAAACTATTTTTTATATATCCTGATCTTCAGTGTTTTGGATAGTAAAAGAGATAACAGTTTCTTAATGGAATAAAAACAAGCACTCCCCAAATGTATTACACTCATAATTTCATCATGGACCTCATTTATATGTGTTATTGTGGTTCCCAGATACTTAAATTTTGAAACATTTTCAAATAATGTGTTATTTATAATTATGTTCTGCCACTGTTGATGATGTTGATCCTTTATTACACCCATGTATTTGGTTTTGTCTACATTTACTTCTACGCCTATTTCCTTGCTAGCCTGTAGGAGAGTTTCTGCATTCTTGGTTATGGTACTCGTATCATCTCCCAGCAAATTGACATCATCAGCATAGGCATGTATCATCTGGTGTAGACCATTCAATTCGAGCCCTTCCTGATTACCTCCAACCTTCCTGGTAACATATTCTAGAGCAAATATAAAATGCATTGGGGATAAAGCATCCCCCTGTTTAAGGCCATTGTGCACTGGGAAAGGATCCGAAAGAAGGTTGCCTATATTAACTCTACTAAATACCCTATCCATACACATCTTAATTAACCTAATAAGTTTCTTTGGTATTCCAAACTCAATCAAAATGTCATACAGTACCTTTCTTCTAATTGAGTCATATGCCTTTTGAAAGTCCACATATGATTGTGTACTGACCCATTATACTCTCACTTTTTCTCTACTATTTGTCAAATGCAAAAGATTTGATCAATAGTTGACCTATTATGGCAAAATCTACATTGATTGGCCCCAATAGTTTCATTCATAAATGGCATTAACCATGCCAGAAGTATATTCGATAACATTTCGTATGACGTTGATAAAAGAGAGATACCTCGTAAGTTAATGCACTCAGTGTTGTCCCCTGTTTTGTGGATAGAGACAATTAATTCTTTCCACTGTTGTAGTAGTACTTCGTGGTTCCAAATCGACACCAGAAGCTTGTGTATCTCTGATTGTAATGCCCTACCGCCTTCATGGATTAGTTCCACTGGAATTGAGTCAGTGCCTGGAGATTTATAACGTTTTAATTTCCCAATGCCAATTCCAACTTTATTAAGGCTCAGTTCCAGGATGAAGGGCTCTGCTGTATGTACTTCAGGCTCATTAAATTGATAAGCAACGTGAACACTTAGTAACTTACTAAAGTAATCTTTCCATCTGTCTACAATGTCATGTGAGTCCGCAAGCAGATTCTCATTCTCATCCTTGATCTAATGTGTCCTACGTTTGTACCCCTTCCAGCTCCCCTATCTGATCTTTGAGATACTATGTCTCCTTATCGATCAAAGTTCTACTGGATTCATGTCTTACATTGACACAGCTTTTCCTGTTTATTCGAGCAGGGGCCTGCAGCTATTGGAATCTAACCTGCTTCCTCTGTCTTACCAAGACAGAGCATTCTTCATGAAACTGTGCTTTATTTTGCACAATTTTATGACACCTACACTTTCCTCAGCTAAAATTTTCATGTTATCCCGTATATTTTTCCAGACCTTACTGATGTCTGCTTCCTTATTTTCTGTATTCTCTTCAATGCTTTCTAGGATTGCAAAATTATTCAAAATTTGTAACTGATACTCTTGCTTAGTTCCTACATCGCTCAGATTTATAACGTTAAACTTCTCAATTCTGTATATCTGCCCTGCCAGTTTCCTGACCGAGAGTCTTGCCCTCAATTCTGCCATCACTAAATAATGGTCAGAATCACAGTCCGCTCCCCTATAAGATCATATGTCTACAACGTGTAATTGCCTCCTCCAATCAATTAGAATGTGATCAATTTGATTATGGGTCATCCTAACAGGGAAGTCCAAATGTGCTTATGGATATCAAGATGTGGGATTGTTGTGCTTCTGACGATCAGATTTTTGGATGTGGCAAAGTTCACTAATCTCACCCCATTGTCATTACTAAATGTAAACTCTCATTCCCTACAGTTGGTTTGAAAATATCCTCCCAACCAATTTTGGCACTGAAATCTCCCAGCATTATTTTCAAGTGGTATCTACTAAACTGATCAAATACATGCTCTACTTCTCCATAAAAGCCATCTTTTTCCTTATCATCCTTATCTTCAGTTGGTGTGTGCAGATTTAAAATAATAATATCACACCATCGACCATGAATGATTACGTATGACAGCCTATTATTAAAAATTCTACTTTTTTAACTGCCCACTGAAGATATCTTTTCACTAAAATACCCGTTCCCAGGCAATGGTCTTTACTCCCTTTTCCATGGTGTAATACGTAGTTCCTTCAATATCCAAACTATACTTCCTACCTCCATAGCTAATGCATCCCACGCCCATTCTAGATAAGCTCCTTACATTGCACTGAAAATGTTTCACAAATACAAATTAAAAATTAGTCTTAAAAAGACTGAACTGATTAAAATGGTACAAATAGCATAAATACAGTGTCTGTAACAAGGATTTTGAATATGATGTTTAGCAGTATAAACAAACAGTAGTTTTGACTGCATATCTAAAAAGATTCTTCAAACATCAAACCTCTTCGCAGAAGGCCATTTAGAAATGAGCAGCTGAATTACAGTAAGAACTACAGTGAAACCTGTGAACTGGTCACCCCTATCTACTGGTTATTCTTTTAGGAATTATGAAAAGACTATTCATAACCTTAAAACAACTAATTTTATTATTCTACATATACGGATGGTTCAAAAGCTAATGACTGTATGTCAAGAACATTGACTTCTGTTTTGGTTTGTGGAGGGCAATTTTTTTAAAATCACTAAAACTTTTTATGCCAATAAGAACAAAGATATTAACCTCTAACAAACAGTAAGAGAATATAACTCCACAAATGAGAGGACTGGCAGCCAAACTTCAACTCCAAGGTTTAAGGTTTACTAATGTTAGTGCAACATACGGCCCACTAGATCATCTGTAAGCAGTGACACACGGAATACTTTCTATAGAACACAACGCATGATGCTGTTTTTATATGGTTAAATTAATAGAACCTCTTGTATATTTGTAATAATGTCAATAACTCTCACTCTGTGGTTTCTAAACCATCCACATAGTCTAATCTTGCCATTGTGGTCACTAAACCAAGTACAAAAGTATATAATTAAAAAATGTTACTTTATTTGGCCAACCCCCATTTGTATTCTATCTTGCAAATTATAGCGCAGAATTCAAAATGGAATTCTGAACTCATAATGGACTGACAATATTTGGATTTTACAAGACATTTTATTTTATTGAATGTATTTGATGTTTTGAGAGGATCAGTAAATGAAACGTGTTACTACATCTTTCAGCAGTTAATGCTATGGATTTACAGCAACAGAACTGACAGAAGAAGCAACGAGTTCTATAACTCGTCTTTACTGGTATATGATAATTTCCCTATGCTTCCTTTTCTTCCAAGTCAACAAACAATCATCTCATTATCAGAAGCTACAGATCCTATGAAGTTCAGAAAGTCTCCTTAAATACACCAAGAAATATGTCAAGGATGTCCAATGTTAGGTACACTTTCTGGTATATACTGGTAACAAATGACACAGTATTCTTCGAGAACAAAATTTATGTTTTTAATGAACATTACTTTCTAAGCTCATGAATATGGTAAAGTCACAACACAGTCTGACCATCGCAAATGCAGTTTCCTCATTCAGTCATTTGAAAATTATTGAAAAGTCAATTAAATGACAACATTGAGTACACACTGACTTATTTTTGTAGGTAAATGAACCAGCTTGTATTTCAGAAATCACCATATGGTAAAAAGTGTTCTTCCTCTTCTCATGATCTGATTTTATATATACACTTAATTTACCAGACTTGTTCTTCAATTACAACAAACTGAAGATTAAATTTTTGAAAAAGAAATTCATACATACAGAAGTGTATTTTGAAACAAAACCCATTTCCCAAAATATTGAAATTCCTATGGAGGTTACTGCAAGGATCAAATGTTTGTGGTTTGTATGCAACAGAATGCGTTCAAAGCTCAACAGCAAACACAGTAACAAACTTACCAGTAGGTGATACTTGAAGATTGGCCCCATTGCCCCCTGTCATTGCCGCTAGTGTGACTAGATTTTGCATGCTCATAGGGTTCATAGCTGAAACAAATAAACATCAACACTTCAATAAACTAGTAAAGCAAAGTTTCACCATGGCTACAATTTAACAGATATCAAAAAACCTAACACTAATTAATAATTTCTACTGAAAAAACAGAGGACATTGAGGTTTAATTATTAGCACTTCCACTTCACACTTGGATGGTCAGGTTTGTATCTAGTCCTGACAAATGGATATCCTGATGATGATGATCTGGGTTTTGGCACCACGTAAACTAGTCAGTAGATGCCAATGATGATTATATTTTTCTGCGTCTGGCAACTCGAGAATATTACTACTGAAAATGCTTGTAACATTATGAACAGTTTGAACTTTTGAGATGATGAATTAAACAGAAGGCATGTTATGGGCAGAATTTTATATGGTTAAACCAATGCAGTTCAACTAGTGACCTGCAAGTCACATCCAGCCGTAGACTACTTGTAACGAGGCCCACAAAATTAAATATTAATTCATTACTAGTTATTACATGCTAATTTATTTTCTCTGCTCCAAAATATTTTTTTTAAAAATCATCTTGTCTTGCTTTATGTACAAGTGTCACACATGCTACTTACATTAAAACCCTACCATAAAATGCAACATTTCCAGATAAAAACAGTGTCAGATATATGTTGTTACAGGGGCAAATTTAAAATGATGTGTACCTCTACAGTAATCAGTGAACATTTCAATAAAATTTATGTTTCAGCACATAGCCTATTACAGTAATTAGTAATTTCTGAGTAAGTACTGTTCAAGATAAAAAAAAGGCTATTAGTTTTCAAAATAGTGAAAGGAGGGTTTTCTTGATAGCGGGTCCAAGGCAAAAGTTATTCTTGGCCGAAGGAAAGAAACAAGGTGGAGAACCCTGATTTAACCCTTTGAAGATTGAACTCACCTTATAATATTCAAGGAATTCAATCCATACCACAAAGAAACTATCAGACTCCACCACTACAAAAATCAACTTGATAAAACTGTTTGAGGAAATAATCGCTATTTACAGTGAGAAACACGGAAGATCACAGGTCTAAACAGAGAATTAAGAATGACTGTTGAAGCAGGTGGGACAGATAGTTACCTTCAGGCTTTTAAGAGATAAACTGTAAAAATGTGAAAAAATACCTTGTTCCCTATAATCAGGCAGATAGCAAGAATGTGCACAGATCAAAGGAGGTGAAATGCAGAAAGATTATATTATGTTAGTGACACTACGTGCAACAAAATGTAAATATGCCACTATTAACCGGTTGTAATAGGACTCACTCTCAACGTGTAAATGTGTTTTCAGTGGGATACGAATAGCTTTGTAATGTGTTCTCTGTGAATTTGTATACCTCAATGCCTTTGATGTTCACTGTCTGCAAAATATTTTTGTTGCATTTTTATTAACTTTTATCAGCATAACATGCAGTCGAGCTGGCTGTTCACTGCAATGGCACACTGCTTAGCCATAAAAACCTGGCTTAAAGTCAAGCTAGCAGCCTCATAATATGGGGTTTTAAAACACCTTATTCTAATATGACAGGTTAAACACTGACCAGATTGAAAAATGCTTGAAATAAGACAGTTTGCAGAATGAAACACTTATGAAAAATCTGATGTAGCTTTAATTTACCTTCATGTAAATTAGGATTTATATTGGACCAATGTGAATGAATATTTCATTTTCCTGACAAATGTTTTGGTACAGTTCCCAATTCAAAATTTCATAGCGATTCAGCACCGTCACAGATAAAACTTGAGAATGGACATGACCTCCCAATTATAAGTTCATTTTATAAACTTCTTGCAAAGCATGCATACAAACAAAATATAAGCTGATGATTTGGATACATACTGGGGTTTGCTACTGAAAGGTTTGCCAGCGTTGCCAATCCTTGGAGGTTAGTTTGGCTAATATCAGTCGCTGAACTTCCAGTAGACCCACTCAGGTTAAGGCCTGTGGAATTCTGCAATGCTGCCAAGTTCTGGAGACCTGTTGGCAAACCACACTCTTGATATTGTAAATGTTAAATTCTTGCTGACAGACTTTCCAGCTACCTTGACCTAACACACATAAATGTACATACTTACAACTGTTTGCAGCTTTTGGGTGACATTCCATGTACAAACAAGAGAAGTAAGGCAGTGTTTATTTAAACAGCCCTAGCTAATAACAACCCAAGTCCTTAATTTTTCAGTTCCTTCACAATATACTGATGGTTACAAATAAGTGCTTTTGCACATCTGTGTTTGAGGGACGTAACATCCTACCAATTCTTTAAATCTTTCTACAGAATGTAATTACTGAGGGCTGTAAATAACATTGTCTTCAAGATGACAGCAATGCACATCTTCCATTTTGTATTCAACAATCAACAATGGTCTCCTGAATGTTTGCAGAGGTAACTAAAATCAATCACACTCAATGATACACATGTACATAAATAAATACACAAATGTGTATGAATGAGTATGTAACGAAAATAAGACAGGCGACTCTACAAACTCGACTCCTACACACTTTACCTCACTGCAAGAAGAGTTCTCTGTCTTTCTTCTTGCCAATATTTCACTGACATTTTCTAGATATAGAAAATATATCGCCAAGAAAAACATGTTCTGATATAATCACTCATTCTGCCATATTACCTTATTGTGGTAACTGGAACATAATTTTGATTTCTTTCATAATTTATTCCCATACTGATCAACCACCATGTTGAGTATATAATATTCTGTGTAACCCTCACTATTTGAAGAGAAGTGTGGTTTCCTAACTTACATTAATGCTGAGATAGGAGAGGCAATAGATGCCTCTTAAATTACTTTTCATATTGCCTCTATTAAACTTACTACGACATGAGACACTAACTTGTCATTTCATGTAACAAGTAAGTTTTCTGTACAGGCTTCAGTAACTGACATTGTAAAACATTTTGTTGAGAACCAAATCATTAGCAATGTCCCTGGTGGTTTATTTGACAGCCACAAAAATCAAGCAATTGCCTTGTCATTACGAACGTGTTAAATGAAATAGTTCTCCACATTTCATCAAACAGATTCAATAACAGATTCCAACAGATAATACCATCTTCCCACTGAACACCTACTGCAATGTTCCCTATTAGATAAATTAACACATGGTTCAAACATAGGCTACATACAAATTTAGCATTTAGTGAGCTCTTACAAATACGGTAAAGAACAATTGGCTTCCATAAAAAGTTGGCAATTTATTGGGAAGCGGAGTAATAGGCAGCTTCCTAAGAATAAATACATTCACAGAAGCATTTATAAAACTGAAGTACTAATTAAAACAGTGCCCTTATAAAACACAGATCAAGTACCAGAAGCAGTTATGAGTATTAGCATTTGAAACGTATGACACCAACAGCTGCTCTGAACTTAGTGTGAAGATAAAAGTACAGTGGCTGCTCATGATCATCTGAAGAAATAGGGTCATGACCAATTGCAGACCACTTCCTTCACATCTCCTAATGGCTATATTAAAAGTAAAGGTAAATTTAGTACACTTATTCAAATGTTCATATTTCAAGAGTTCACAACAATAAAAAAGAAGAAGTTCTTGTTTTTCACATTCCCTCAACTGCATCTTTCTTCAAACCACTGTCTACAAGATGCTCTTGATTTTGTACCATCTTTATGGGGTTATTTCTGTATCTTTTGGGTGAAAATCACAAAACATTTCAAATTGTCTTTGTTTCAATGCATACAGGGTTTCCAACAACCAATGTGTTTATATTACAAACTCTTAACTCGAATATAATTGTGAGCACGCACCCACACACACACGAAAAATTCTATCTTATCAAGTTCTACAAAATAGAACTCAAGCCGTAAGATTTGAGGTTTTCACAGCGCTGAGTATGGATATTTCTGTCTTCTGGGTTGTTGTCCTGTGTAGTCTGGCCTCCGTCATCAGGGTGATTCATCGCCCTGATGACGGAGGCAGTATGACCTCTGAAATGTTGGTAAACATCTACCAGACTACACAGCGCAACAATCCAGAAGACAGAAATCTTCATCGCCCTGATGACGGAGGCAGTATGACCTCTGAAACGTTGGTAGACATCGATCAGACTACACAGCGTAACAACCCAGAAGACAGAAATCTTCATACTCATTGCCCTGATGACGGAGGCAGTATGACCTCTGAAACGTTGGT